TCATTTAGATACAGTATACAGCTGAGATTCACGTGATAATATTCAAAGCGTACAATATAATATTGTATTTTGTAATTAGAACGTTTTTTATTTTTATTAAATTCGTATCTCATATCTCGATCCGATTTTCGTACGGGGTGCATTTTGTGTTTTTGTACACGCAATATTATCGAAGAAATTCATTTCGGTGACATAACGGTAAACGATAATAATATTGATAACGTCATATTTTCGTTCTTAAATATTAATAAGACCATGGTTTTTTTAAACAATATTCTACGCGTCAACTGTTTTAAGTATAGGCACCTGCAGTAATTGCTCTCGACAATCTATTTGAAATTCAACGCACTAAAGTGGATGTATACTGAGTGTGTAGTATAAAATAAATGCATTTTATTATATTTTGTAACTGTTTGTATTGCCCCGTTGAGAATAATTGGTGTATTTCGTGTTTAAATACAATTCTATAAGTGTTTGCCCATCTCTGACGATATTGTGAACGGACGGATCGCGTATGTTTTGTCGAAAAACAAAACAAATAGTATTATATTACAGTGACCCAATTCTTATATTATAATATTTTATTCTGGTACGGAGAATAGAATTTTGAAATAGAACAAAAAAAAGCTTGCGCGTCGTTGCGGGTATTGAGCGTACCTGAGCGAAATTTGAACATTCACGTTTTGATAAATTTAAATTGAGAACTGCATTTTGTTTTATCGTCTCGAACTTTTGAGCATTTTTATAGAGACGAAAATGTTTTGTTCGCATAACTCGAAAAATAGTACGCGAAATACCGTGATTTCACGATTGTCATAAAAATATCTACTTTAAATTCTCCATACTCGTAAATTTCAAATGGCTGCGAATAGATTTTTTTTGTATGTGTTCGGTAGAAAAAAAAAAAAAACAAATATTTTTAAACGAATCAAACGGAAAGGAAATCGAACAAAACCGTTTACATTTACCCGTCTTTCCCGACGATTTTTCCCCGGCATTTCTCGTTTGTTGAAAAACCGACGAGGAAGATTTTGAACAACCACCTCCCAGACGCACCGGCCCGACGAAACTCGCTACCGTTCCGCGGAGTCGACGATCGGAGCGAGGTGTCTGATAGCAAAGGCGTTCGCATCGCAGACCGGACGGAAAACACACGGCGCGCATTTCATAGCGGTTCACAAAACCTATACGAATTCCTCGTTTCGTTCCGAATCTACAGCCGTGATGTCGCTGTTAGCGAAATCCTTTTTTCGTTTTCGTTTTCCCCCCTCCTCTCACTCTTCCCCGGTCAAACATATCGTTATCGTTGTCGGCATTATTATATTTGTATAAAATCGTGTAACAGGTACACAATAATTAGTCGATAATAACGTTGGCACGCGCATAGCGCGCGGATCGCGAGCGTTGATATAATTACGGGCCGAGCACGTGCCTCTACACAGCTAATTATTTATTACGTTTGTTATTAACGCGGTTACATAGTATTGTAACCGTGCACGATGCACTTTCATTTCGGTACACCGCCGCAGATCGGCACTGTTGATATTTTTTCAAGGCGCGAACAAATAATAATAATAATAATAAAAAAAAAAAAAAAACCCGACGCACCGAAATCGCAATTTATTTTAATTATACAATGTTTTACCGGACAGGCGTATATTATACAGCGGCGGAGCACCGTTACGTACAATCGATGCACAATAATTAATAATAACATTACAATTGCGGGTCGTTTATGTAAACGCGAGCTTGCCGCGTGCGGACGCTCGCGTTTGGCGTTCGACGCGGGGCGCCGGTCGCGCCGTAACCGGCGTGGCTGTTCTCGGGAAACCATCCACCGTTGAAACGGTGGATGGTTACGGGGCACGGACGCCGACTGTAGTAACGGGGAAGTGGGATGGCGAGCGTGACGAAGACCGAAGACATCGAAATGCACAGACCGCCGGCACCCGAATTTCAGCCCGTTTCCAAGCGCAGTCGGATCGTTCCGGCTGTCCTCCGCGATTATTTTCAAATAACTCGGACCGAAATTACGTTTTCTTTTCTTCCCGTCTCGAAAATTGTTCGAGTACACACTTCTCTTGTCGAAATGCTTGAAACACGCAGAGCTCCAGAGTGAATCGAATCTGATGGAGGGGACGGGGCGATTTCGCACACCGGTATTAAGTACGCATTTACGACGGAAAATCAAACTGCGAGTGTACATTGAAAAAGCAAACGGGCAAGGGGGCCGTCGCCATCGTCCCCTTCCCGGAACCGCCACCGTTATCCGCCCTGGGAATAATTAAAATCGCACTAACTGACAAGTCACCTCATTATAGATCCGCGTGCGAAAAATGGTTTTAACGTCGCGCCGGTAAATCAGCACGCGTTTTGGTTTTCGAGGTGGGTCACGTTGCATATGCTCGTATATCAGTGCGCGCAAATAAAATAAACCGATACGCGTATGATACGCGCGCGTGTGCATAATCTAAAAGTACCAATCGATTAACGCAGGTGTGAATAACGATGGTAATAATAATGCAATCCGTTCGTACACGCTAGCCAGTTCTCGCGTCGATTGATCGGAGGAGAAAAAACTCATGTTGTATCGCGGTTTCAAAAGAATTTATTCTTGTGCAGCGATTGTAATCGCGAGTCGAGTTCGCCAGACGGTTTTTCGCTCCGGACTATCGCCACTATCGGTCCTCGGCGATTAACGTGCGCGTCGCTTTTGTATAGATTTGCTCCGTAACGTTTCTGATGGATTTCATTTGCTTTTAGGTCTTTTAAACCGTTTTGTTCGTTGATTTTTTTATTATTTTTTTTTGTCGTCTATAATCACTTGTTCGGTAAACAAACGTATTGCATCCACGCGTTCGAAAACCACGCGCGCACACCAGTCGCACAACAGCGCGAGTACTACGATATTTGTTTGCCGTTCGGTCGTTTGCGCCAACCACCGTCGTTCCGTCCGTTTGTTCTGCGCGCTCAAAGGGAGCCTAAAACACCCGGAACTCTATTGACAGTGTAAAACCGTAATGTAATGTGTTCGCCACGTATTAATTGCCGTTTGTGTCACAGCAGGTATCGCGTTGCGCGGGCCGCCCTTGGCAGCAGCATCAGCGGCGGCAGCAGCAGCACCAGCGGCAGAGGCCACCGGGGCCGGCGGCCGCCTACGGTACTTCGACGGCGGCGGCCGTCCCGGGTTACGCGGAGTACGATGATCCGGCCGTGGCCGCCAACGAGCCGCCACCGCCTGCCCCGCCGGATCCGAGCTTACCGCTGAATCAGCCCGCGGAGTCGGGCCCGGAACCGGATTACGGGGACCCGGACAGGCTGTACGTGGAACCGGAACGGGTGTACGCGGAACCGGAACAGAACTACGAGGTGGACGAAGCGGTGAGCGTGCTGAGCGACGGGCGCGCGCACGGCGTGCAGCAGCATCAGGCGCCTACCACGGCGGCGCCGAGGAGCAACAGTAGTTTGGCCGCCGACAACGACACCACCACGCCCGGCGTGGTGGTGGCGGTGGCGGACGCGGACGCCAGCACCACCAGCACCGCCACCCCGGAGACCCGGAAAAGCGGTTACGTGGTGGACGGCAAACACTTCCGGAAGTACAGGGTCGAAGAAGAGACGCCGGACGGGTTCATCGTGGGCGAGTACGGGGTGGTCAGTCACCACGACGGCAACACACGGGGCGTCCGGTACACGGCCGACAGTAGCATCAATCCGCGAGTCATCTACGAGGCCCTGGCCAAGTTTCTGGCGCTGAGGCGCCGCCGGTAGACCGACCGCGGATCCGGAAGGGGAGAGGGTGGCAGGCGGCGGGAGAGGGGGTGGGCGACCGGGGCGAAGGAGACGCGTACCCTTGCCGGGGAAAAAATCGTTAAAAAAAATAAAAAAAAGGTCAACTAATTCGTAATACAACATTATTTTCGATCGCGTAACGAACGTGCGTAATAAGATACATTAAATTTTAACTGTCGCGTCCTCTCTCCTCCCCTCCCCTGTCCGTGGAGAATTTCTGGATCCGCCTCCGCGGTACCCCGCCGCCGACGCCTAGACTGATCGCGTGTATTATATATGTATCGATTGTATACTGACTAACGATGTTATATGAAATATTGGTTCACGATTCGAAACACTGCTGCAGCCGTCATCTTTTATATATATATATATATATATATTATATGTATACTTTTTTTTTTTACAATTTTTTTATTATTTTTATTATTATTATTTGTCAAACGAAATTTCTAGTCAGATTCTACTCGTCGTCGCGCATCGCCGTCGTTGCCAATGGCCTTAAAAATATAACAACAACAAGAAAAATGAAAAGGAGTCGACGAAAAACGTCGTATTATTGTTAGGTATACAATATTATTATGCGTCCGGTCGACGTAAATACGAATCGAATGCGTGTGCCATTTCCACCGTAATATTATAACAAAAAAAAAAAAAAAAAAAAAAAATAAAAAAAAAACCAAAAAAATATATATACCCGAGTATCCGACCTCATATATATATATGTATATAAGCGAAGCCCGGTTCACACGACACGTAGACGACCGGGTGAAATAATAAAACAGTCGATTTGACCCTACGAGTAGACAGGACGGAGCCCGGAACGAACGAAATCGCGGGTTGTTTTGTTTTGTTTTTTTTTTTTTTTCGAATATCGTCGGCCCGATTCCCAGTATCGCCCGAAACGGCAACTATTGGTACTGTTCGGGCACTCGTTTCCTCCGGAGTTCCGTACTATGCGTCAGGAACATCGGGCCGACGATATATGATTATAAAATGTGAATTAATCGTTCGTCGAGAGCGAGAAAACACGCGCGTCTATAGTAAAAAAAAAAAAAAAAAAAAAACTCC